CCTACAAATACAGTATGAACTTGCTCTTAGATTTTTTTCTCACCTAATTAAGTCTGTATTTCTCATAGCTTAGCACTAATCATTTCCAGCTTATAATGTGGCTCTGTTGACTGGAATATAGGGGGAAAGTGCTGTAATGACTCCCGAGCCACAGGGAAAAACAATCATTTTGTGTTTGGAAATGATGCAGCAAGCAGCTTCAGGGCAGTTCCTTGCTTATCAGTTGCAGCAAAGTGTTAGGAAACCACGCATCCTGCTTTGAGCGATGTCCAGGATAGGTCTTCTCCTTCCTCCTCAACACCGCCCCCTGCCCACCGCCATACCCTTCCTTCTAGCCGGGAGACTCAGGAATCCGTGTGGTGGTAGCAGAGAAGAAATAATATTTTCCTGCACACAGCAGATGAGCTCCATCCTCAGCCCCCACGACATCTGGATCTGGGGGGGGGGGGGCACGAGTGAGGCCATGCTGATGGGAACAGGGGCAAGGGGCCCGGTGTCCTCTGCCGAAATCCTAATTTGCTTTTGCCAGTCCCGGCCCCCAAAGTCATCTCCACTCACTCATCTTGCGGGGACTTTGGAGGGCCAGGAGGCCACTGTTGTCATTGCTTTTTGAAGACGGTGGACCCCGCAGCAGCCTGGGCTCAGCCTTGCTCCCCGGCACAGTGGGTAGACAAGGAGCAGGTGCCAATAGTGTTCCAACCAGGCTGGACCGGAGCTGTGTGCAGGTGGTTTCAGGGTTAAAAGTCCTAGTAGCATAAAAAGAAATCAGAGCAACAGTGAGCACCCTTCTGATGCCTTCCTACTAGCCACCATTGCCTTCTTTTCGGTCACCCTATTTTGCTTGCAGAGTTTACCTTCCACGGGCTTGGGCTCCCTTCTCCCTTTGCTGACGAGCAGAGCTCTTTCCTTAATTAAGTCAACAAGTACTCATATGCAGAGGCAGCATCTCTTTTGGCAAGAGGACCTGTGCAGAACCAACCCCAGAAGCAAATGAGAATGTTTGTCAAGCTCAGATGAAGTAGCTGTGATTCAAGAGTGAATCATTACCTGCCCAAGCAAAAAGTTCCTAAAACCTTCTCGCTCCCAGGCGGTGACCATGTGACCTATGGGGACAGAAGGTCTGCATGATGGGTTCAGTTTGAGGGGCTGAGGCAATCCGAGATACTTAGAGCATAAAGCTCTCATTTGCAAAAAGGAATCCAAGAACAAGTGGACACCGGCTAATCCACAGCCACGGCTGACAACTGGTTCTTCCTTTCCCAAGATTGCCTACGTCTCTGGCTACCTGGGGATCAGCATTGTGAGCCATTCCCCTACAGGGACACGCATGACATTCACATGTTTGACACACTATCTGGGCTTGGTGTAGTTCCTGGGGAAATATCTATAATTCCTTCTCTCTTTCTTTCTCCAGCTCAAATAAAAAAATAATGTTGGAGTACAGGGGAGAGTGATGTCGTATTTGTTCTTATTTATTTTAAAAAGGGATATACTTCCTGAAAGTGCCAATTAACTCTGGTTGGTAGTCAGTAACTCCAACGTCCTATGCAACGTGTTTCATAGCCACAACTGGGTTTTAACATTTTAGGCCAATGCAGCCTCTTCTGCATTCTCTTATATGCCCATCTGCTCCCAGTTTGATAGAATTTGTCTTTCTTGCAAGGCCTGAATAACTTTCCATGTAATTATCCTCTAAAAAATGGTGCGGCCTGAAAGGTAGACTTGGAGGCACCAAACCCTTCTGATTCTGATCTGTTTTGGGGATTTGGCTGGGCTGGCGTTTGGCAGCATATGTATGGAGGTTGATTGGAAGGCAGATCTCCAAGAAGCAAAATGTTAAAATGCTGCATGGCTTCCTATCCTCAGCATCCCTAATCCAAACTGGGGAACATCCCTCCCCCCCAACTATTTAGGAGGCAGAGGCATGGTAAAAATGTGTAGACCTAGTGTTAGGCAGATCCAGGACTGAATCATGGTTCCTCACTGGCCTAAGGCAAGTCCTTCATTATTCCCAACAAACAGATTTTTACCTTTGAGATAGAAAGGTGACATTGCTATGAGGTTTAGAGCCAATGGGGTATAAAATGTCCTGCCGATGCCTGGCGCACAGAAGAACCTAACAAAAAAAAACCTTACGAATATATTTATTTAACCAAATATCACTTGTCCACCATGGCTGGACAAATCCAGGCAGTAGTCAGAGTCTGAAGCCTTCATGTTTTGGAGAGTGTTGGCACACACAAAGTGATGACAAGCAGAACGGTCTTAGACAAGACAGGAGTAAAGGCAAGTGGAAGAAAAGTGACAAGCAAAATGCTTTCCTGAAATCCTGGCAATAGCCTGGGGAAATGTTTAAGTAGAGAGCTTCAGGGTCTCCCTGAATGCATGCAATTCGAACTGCAGAAGAAACTCAAGTTTGGTCTATCCCATAATGTCAAGTTGATTTTTTTGCCATGTTTCGGCAGTCTCAAAGCAACTGCTTTTTATAACACATTAGAGAAAACACTGTGACCACTGTTGCTCTGGGTAAATTCTTCAAACTCCAAATAGAAGCAGTAAACATGTGAGTATAAATATGACAATCATTTGTTTAACTGTGACAATTTTAGAGAGTTTTTGGCATGCTCAAAGGTACAGAGATTTTTGTGGATGAGTAAAAAATAACTCGAGTATTGTTTATCCCACTTTGACTAAGTCTTGGGTGACATTATCAATTTCTTGTAAAATTGGCATATTTATACCTAATATCACGTTATGGGAAAGGAAATAAATGCTAAAGTTTGCCTCCCTGGAGGGACTGGGGTTGGTGAAGAGTGTAGCAGATCATTCTTTATGGACCGTTTCACATGAATACAATTGTCATGGTTTTATCTGATGACCAAACGATTTCCTAGTTGTTTATTTTGATTAGAAGTGGCATCGTGCTAGCTTTCTGGTAATCCTTAGCTTTCTAAAATCTAAAACTTAAATTTGTCCGGGAATGAGTTTAAAGGGAGCCATATTTTAGGGAAGCAAAACTATTACCATTCTTTTCGTGGGGATGCCCTTCCTGTGAAGGGAAGCCTGACAAATGGGGTTTTTAAAATTCAGATCCCGAAAGAAGCTCTTCTCGACAATGAAACTTATCTTTCCCATCAAGGCAGAAGACAAGCGCAGTTCGCATACTCGAGTCCTTCCCTGATGCTTATGTCCATAATAGGACACCCACATCTGGTAGAGCTGTTATCGGACATGCAGACAGACCAGAAGAATCCAAAAATCCGGCCAATATCTAAAGCCAGAATCATAAGCTCAAGGCATAGCGCCTGTCTGGTCAGCAAGAAGACATTCTCCGGAAAAAGCTGAAAAAGCAAAATATTCAATGGCCAAGCACGACTGACAACAGCCTCAAATCCACATGCAAACGTACCCCCTCCCCGCCCCCATGACAGTGTGCAAAGATATTAGCCTTGAAGAAATTTTCATTTTGCTGCATGGGAAGAAGAAAAGATAATGGGCCCCTACCTTGGCTGTGAAGGCTAAACAGGGGCCGTAGTCAACTTTGAAATTCTTAAGAGGAAATTACTCAAATGGGGGGAAGAGGCTACAGAGATGGTCGGTCAGCAGTTTTCGATCAGTGATTCTGGCCAGGAATTATGCCCAAACCATAAATCTTATTTTAAATTCTTACTGTGGGATGTGAAAAATATTTTAATTTTTTACATACGATAATCCTCTTCCTCTTTAGTCATATATCGAGTTATTAAGGTTAACCAGAATTTGGTATACAGAAAGCAAAAGTAGCACGTTCCCCAAGTTCCCATAGAAAGTGGGAATAGATGAAGTGAACGGGCTCCTGGATCTTTCACCAGAATAAATGGGCTTCTGTCGAAAACTATTTGCAAATTCCGGCTTTAGACGATTTTCTGGTGACCAGTCGGTATCCTCCCAAGCTAAGCATGTGTATCTCTCAAAGTTCAGGAAGGATATACCTGGATCCTAAGGCTCTCATTCCACCATGCTACCTGTGCATTCAGGACCTTGAACCTCCTTCCTTAGGCAGTAGCGAAGCCGCGGAGGAAAAATGGAAGTCTGGAGGCGCCTTCCAAAATACTATAAGCTCTGGATTTTCAAACTGGTACTCTGGAAAAGGTAAGCGATGTGCCAAGAAAAGCCTTTCTCGGCCACATCGAAACAGCTGTGCAGGAAGTTTGCAGCCTCTTAGCATGAAATTAGCACCCGCCCCACCCCACCCCAAACCCTTGATATTTAAATATGTTTCACAAGAAGCCTTCCTCCATTTGATCTTGGAACCGCTTACTGGAATTTTTTCTGTAGCAGGAAAGTTGAAAAACAAGAACGACCCTCACCCCTCCTGTCTCCCATCAGGAAAAGCCACCTTTTCCCCGACTGTCTAGACCCAAGCATAGAGGTGCCTCCGCTAGTTCCGATGCATCATGAGGGCCCCTCACCCTCATCTTTAGGGAATCGGGAGCAGGAGCTGGTGAAATGGCAGCAAAAGGTAGATCTCACTGTCAAGTTGCACCCAAGTTAAGAAACTGGATATGGTCAGAAATGGTGGAGTTTAAAACGTGCTCTAAAAATAATGTGCCTGGATATTGGCCACCATCTTAAGGCTCTTCCTCTCCAGGCCCTCTCCTCGTAAATATCCAACGTGGCTGTCAGTAAGTTTAGCCTGAAAATAAAATCCCCTCACTCCATCAAGAAATAGCTCCAAACTTAGTGTGCTCAAAATATTCATGATGAAATCATAACCTTATATTTATAGTCTTTTGGATTGTGTATGACATTCTGTTTCCCATGGTGTTTTTCGTTGCAAGGGCCAGACGTGGAAAGCGGCCTCAGAGGATGACCGCGAGAGCATTAGCCTCAAGGAAATGCTGTTTAACATCATTTGCAGCCAGATGGTTGTGTGATATCCTCCTTCTTCCCTGAGCCCTACCCACTGGCCCAGAGTCGGGTCTCTTCCCCCACCCCATTCCCAGATGGTCCCTGGTCCCTGGTCCTGTCTTGTCATCCAGGAAGAGTGAACTGGCCTTCCAAGTAGGAAGTGGGGTGGGTGCCTAAGATCATTCCCCCCCCACCCCCTTCCTTCTGATCTTTCCTGTCCTTTAGACTTCCTCCCCATTTTCACTGAGGGAGATGGTGTGGATCTTAATGGTTGGAACTTGGTGGGTCTCTCCATGGCTGGGGGTCGAGGGCCCCACACAGCAGCACACCTGCAAAAAGCTTTTACTTCTCACCCGGGCTGTGGTGCAGGCTGACTGGTCTCTGGACACTGTACTCCTGGCAGATTCACGGGGCACTGAAGAGAAAAATTTCCATTCACAGACCCCATCCGTCTTGGAGATCTTATAGAAGGTCTCTCCTGATCCCACTGGGATGCGCACCAGGTCCTTGTGCTGCCCCTCCACGGCGTGGCTGGGAGGGTGCAGGGTATAGCCCAGGGTATGTTTAGACTGCTTTCTGCGGAGACACTGGATCCTCAAGACATTCTGGAAGGCCTTTTTAAACTCTTGACTGGAGCACGGGTATATAATGGGGTTGATGCAGCTGTTTAGGTATCCGAGCCAAAATGCTATTTTAAAAACTGTTTCTGAGGGCTTGAAATCAGGGAAGAAAGACCCTGGAAGAAAACACAGATTTGTACATATTATTTGCAAGCCAACAGACCAACTGGCTAGGAAAACAAGCAAACAAACCAACACACTTATTTGTACGTCTCTCAAATGTTTCATGTGATTCCGAATGCGTCTGCGTTTCTCACATCTGACTGGCTAGCCCCTATGTGTAATATCCTCTGAGGCTGTTCTCACCTGGTTCATACGTGCAATATCTATTATGGGAGCCAGACCCACTGGGTGGGTTTGTACCAGTTCTCATCAACATCGCTTGATGGCTGCGATGAAGCTTTAAATAACAAAAAAATGAAATTTAGGCTGAGTCCACATATGCGAGTTGTTTTGACTGCATTTAAAAACAAGCTGGGGGCGCCTGGGTGGCTCAGTTGGTTAAGCGTCTGCCTTCGGCTCAGGTCATGATCCGGCGGTCCTGGAATTGAGTCCCTCATCGGGCTCCCGGCTCGGTGGGGAGCCGGCTTCTCCCTCTCCTCCCCGCTCGTGCTCACTCGTCTCACTCGTGCTCTCTGTCACTATCTTTGTCTCTCTCTCAAATAAAAAAATAAAAATAAAATCTTTTAAAAAATAAAAAAATAGAAACAAGTTGGAATCCATTAAAATAAGCCATATTAAAATGGGGTTACCTAAATATTCCCGTTGTGCTTTGATGTGGGGTTACATAGACACAGCCTAAGTTATTATGAATCCCTTCTCTCCCGAACATGGGAATTGTATTTTTCAATGAGAATCCAAAATTCACAAAGTATTGGCCTTGCCAACTTTCAGCCAGCGATTTTCTATTACGCCGAAATGATGACGATTATTGTTGATGATGCCTTTTGATGTTCTAGTATACTCCCCTGCTCAACATGCGCCAAGGGCTGCCAGATGCTTGTCAGGCACTTGACATTGAGGATCCTTCACAGTACCCAATGTAAGCTAGCTTTCTAGCATTAATACTTCTACTCTAACCAGACTCACTACCAAATTGACCCATCATGGCTCATTTTTTGGTCCTCTCAAGTTGGGTCTTGATGTCTAAAATGTCCTTTCCCATCCTCTTTACCTGCTCAAGTCTTATCCATTAATTTATGCGGGGGAGTCAAGTTTCAGACCTCTTTACATCTTATACAGTAGCTGTCACCTAGGTCTTGGTAGCAGAATGACAAAACAATGGAACCCTAAAGCATGAACAATCTTAGGTATTATCTTATTTAATTACTGAGTTTTCAAATTAAAAACAAAAACGATTAAAAAGTTGTCACAAACTTGATCGCTACAGTGAGGGATAATCCCCCTGCCATGGGGATGGGTAAAGGCATGCAGAACTCACAACGTTCTTTATTCTCTGCACCACTTTTTTCTTTTGCATCAACCTAAGGTCTTGATTTCACATCTTTCTTTTTTTCTCTGCTCGACAGACCCATCAGAGTCATGACAAACTGTTGGGTGTGCTTAAGATCCACTCTGGTGAACACTGCCCTGAAACTCAGCAGGGGATTTCACAAATACAAGTGAAAGTGAACTTAAACATTATAGAACCAAAGAAGACAAAATGGTACGGTGGTGGATGGGAATATTTATTGCCTCTGAAACATGCACACACATACAGATGATTGTTGTTATGTGAGAAAGTATTATTCTTTAACTCCAAACCACTTAATGTTTTCCTGTAATTTTAATCGAACTTACTCATATTGAATGCCTGGTTTGCAGTAAAATGCTTTAAATACAATTTAATCACCATTAGTAATATTAAGAATTATGGGACTCATCAATATCCCTACTTTAGACAAGGAAGAAACTGTGGTTTAATGGGGTTGAATAACCCAGTTCAGGTCACTCAGGCAGATAACTAATTACTGGTAGAGCTTGGATGTGAAATTGGCCAGTTGGACTTTAGGATCTATGTTTCCTCATGGAATATCAAAATATATTGGAATAACACATCTCTTGAGGAGGAAGATGGTGTTTGACGAGTGATGAAGTGCACAGTTGGGGGAAGCAAAATTGGAAAGATGCTTTTTCAAACTTCATTTGAGAGGTGGAGAAAGTGGCCAACGCCAACATGACTGGTGGTTTAGTGTGAATATGGTCAGTTCTAGAAAAAAAATCATCTTAATTATGACACCTATATATTGTCCACTATTTCTTTCTAATAGTGATAGTGACACGATTAAGGGAACCTGCTTCACAAAGGCATGCCTTGGCCTGGGCTTAATGAGAATATGAATCTGGCACACCTTGTCTGGGGATCTCACCATTCTGTAAATCAGGTAGGCAGGGGATTGCAATAAAAAAATATGAAGTATGAATTATGAATGCGAGTGCTAATAAAGTGATTTGGGAAACCTGGAATTTCCCACAATCTCTTCAAGGACACTGTCCTCACAGAGCCCAGTTTTGCATTCATGAATCTCAAGAATTCTCTTCCATCCCTTGAGCCCCCTCGAATTCCAGGTCTGGCTGACCCAGAGCCAGGCTCTAGGGTTTTCTATACACTGGCCTTCCTGCTGTGTCCATAGTTTAAGAGGTAAATACAGGTTTCCCAGTCTATGTGCTCAAAACACCATCTCCTCCCTGCAGCTAGGGTATTGGGTGAGACAGGGAAATGGTTAAAATGAATTCACACCAAGATTGGAATGTCAGATGGTCTCCAGCTTTAATGTTCCAGGGATATTGTCTTGGGTAATCTAAGCAAATCTCTAGATGTTGGCTTTTCAGACTAATTGAGAGATTCTTCTGGACCACAGGCCTTCCCATAAATGACCCCCTTTTAATTTATCCCATTAAGTGTGTGACAGCACCTAGATGTGTCGAAACCTAGGACGATCTGCCCATTCCCAATCTGACAATCCCATAGGGGCAGGTCGTGGGATTCATTTCTCCTACTGGGGTGTTCCTTCTCCCTTGGCTGGGCGGGGGGAGTTCTCCTTCAGCAGCTGCTGGTAGGTCTGAGGAGAGGCACTCATAACTGTCCGTCTGTCCTTCAGGTGAGAAAAGCCAGCATGGGCTGTTTCCCTCCTTATTCACATCCTTCGATCTCTTTCTGCCTTTCATTTTTCCTCCCCTAGGAAAGGGAGATTGAGCTGGAAGAGTTGCTGCTGTCTGGTCCCCAGCAGGGTTCCGTCATCCCTCCATCTCCTTCTCTGTCCAAACCTTCCCACTCTGGCACCGTCTTCTTGGTGATCCCCACTATTTCTATCCCCAGCCTCAATTTCTTCTCAGATCCCTTTCTTCTTGATGATGATGATGCCTTTTAGGATGGGAAGGCTACTGAGTCATGCTTCTCCCTGCTTTCCACCCACCATGGCATGGAGCCCCAGCATGGAACCTGCCAGTTCTGGGACGGCGCCTCTGACCCAGTCACTAGGCCGTAAACCCCCTCTGAGCCTGCACTGCATCAGTGTTGCTCACTGGCGGGGTTCTAGAACCCAGCACGATGCTGGCATCTCAGAGGCTCCCTCCAGTTACTGTTGAGTGAGCAACCAACCCCTGACCTCTCCATGACTCTGCTTCCCGAAGACATGGCCTGGCTTTCTTCTCTGCCTGACAGCTGTAGCCCTGATTTCTCTTCCTGCTGGTGCCTTCCTTCTTTTTTTTTTTTTTTTTTTTTTTTCCTTCTTTCCCTTTTTCTGCCCAGTTTCTGTTCAAAACCAGAGGGGTTTCTCTGTGATGGTGTTTCACTACCTTTTCGTCCTTGCTGCCTTACCTGGTATCAAACGCTATCATTGTTCTCATCATGTTTCATAGGAAGAGCCAGACTTTTGAATGACCCTCAGGAGCACACGGGCTCCTATTTCTCTTGTCACTGTAGGCTGGCTGTGCTGTTCCACACCTCCTGCCCCCTGCCCAGACTCCGCTTCAAAAGGAGCAAACTGCTCCCAGCTTAATTCTCTGAACCCCTCAGCCTGCAGGTCATGTCATCGCTTGCCTATGAATCTGCCTGGTTAAATTCTTGAGCTTTGGAAAATCCCAAGCCCCTAGGGACTCATCTCTTCACCGAGTTTCCTTCCACCACTTGGTCTGCTGCAGGATTTCTGGCTCTTTTCTTTTTGGAACCCTCCAAATATCTTGGTGAACTAAAACTTAGCCAGACGAGGTGGGTACAGCACGAGTTTATCCTTAACACCATCCACGCCTTCACCCTTGGAGATTCAGAACCCTCACCTCCACTGTTGAGGCCTCTACATTTTAAGGGGAAATTCAAACTGATGGCTTCAAACGATGCTACTTATGTCTCGTCACTCGATGTCCTCTGCATTGGGAACACGTGACCTTTCATTTCTGACCCAGAGCTCATCTGTAGGCTTATGATGGGGGCCACTGGGAGCCACTCAAGTGAAGGCTTGGCCACCTAGAGTCACATTTTAGCTACCAAATGACAGCAATGTTTTCTCTCAATGCCCCCAACACAAGAGAAAACCAGTTTTTCTGCCACTGTTGGTCTCCTAAGTGAGTTTTCTCTGCCAGTGCTTCAGTTCACTCTAAAAACCAGTGAGGATCTAAATGGAGTTCTCAAATTCCAACCCAGCACTAGTCATGAGAAGGTTCTTCTTGAGTTCAGCTCTCTCAGAATCAGGGTGACTTGGAATGGAAGCAGAAGGCTAGGAGTCAGTGTTCTTGGTTCTAGCCTTCCAGCTTCTATGCTTCATTTCACCCACCTGCAAACTTCTCATCTTAATGACAACTTTGAGAGACACCAGGTTATGATAAGCTCGAATTAGCTGGAGTCACAGAATGCCAGAATGTGGAGAGTGGCAGAAACTTAGCACCTAGCCAGCACCGACATCTTCTTTCCTTATGGACGAAGACAGTGAGGCCCAGGAGGGGAATGGTTTCCACAAAATCACCTGGCTCATTGGTAGTCCAGCCAGGCCTAGACCCAGGCTCCGCGTGGCTTCACCCATTTCCACTCCTGATCTCAGGTGCCATTTAGCAACACTGCTGTGGCCCAGGAAGTGTTCATGGCAGTTCTGTGCAGCTGTTGTCATAGGACGATGACATG